AAGTATAAAAAAGGCAATTCAGAAACTACTTTAAGGTATTCTTGATAATAAAAAAGCAAAAGTAGAATGCTCCATGCTCTATGAATACATTAATTTTCTTATCCTGTGACTTTTGGTATTTTGTGTTCCGTAGTCAAAAATCAATTTGTTTTGTGGTAAACCACAAATAACCACAGAATTAGCAACAGTACTGGAAGATAAATGCAATGTTTTCTGATCCTTTTTTAAATACTGGACTTCTTTCTGAAGAGCAAATATGTTATACCAGCCCAGTTAACAAACTTAGCAATAAACAATGTCATGATTATTGGCAATCTTTAAGATACCTTTTCAACAGTCTTTCATTCCAACTCACTTTGGAGCTACAACATTAATCAAGGATCTACATTCATACTTACATAAAAAGTAGCTAAAAGTGCAGTACTGTGCAGCATTTGTTTATAAAAAGATGAAGAATAGATTTTAAAATGCATCAGACAAGGAGCCTGAGACAAGTCTTTGAAACACTGACAGTATAGAAAAATTATGTATCTTCATAAAACCATTCCTTCGTATACGCAAAAGGAAAAAACCCCGGGTTAACTCAAATAGTCTGAAATTGTTTGATATTCAAAATATAACGTATAAGTTATACTACATCAGAAGAATAACAACAATAATGGCGCAGTCATATTCATTGTAGGCCGTCGTACGATTTTGATCCAAATAGAATTTCCATGCAGGCTGTGAAACAACCAACTGGATACAAGGATCTAAGACAGCCTTTTCCATAACAAGAAAGCAGAATTTTGCACAACACATTTACGACTAAGTTAATCTAAGTTTAAGTGTGATTGTATGACAATAGTTACCAGACGTAAAAGACGGAAAAAGACTCACACGAATACCCGCTCTCTTCGTCATCGAGCTCAGAAACGCCGCTATCGAGCCTATCGTAGTGATAGGCTCGGAGCTCGAAGTACCCGCTGCCCGGTACGGTCACCTCCAGCTGGAAGTCTCTCTCCTCCAGGGAGATCCCGTTCACCGTGGTCATCATCGCGCTCACTCAGTATTATCAACGATCCAGGGAGATTTCCGAAAAAGCAACAACTTTGAAGAAAAATCTTGGGCCATGAACGTTGCATCCACGGCAAAGCTACAACTGCAGGATTCGAGAAATTTTGCGTATGAAAGCGAGAGAAAAACAAAGCAGCAAAACTCGTCAGTTTTCGGAGTTCACATTTTTTCTACTTCACCATGGGCTAGACCGAATACAAATGAGCCGCAAAATTTCGTTCAATCTTAGTCAGCAACTTTAGACTCGAGGCGGCGCGCGAGGTTTGGTTGCCTGTTTCTTGGGGGAACAAGGGAGGGTCTAAAACACTAAGTGTACATGCAGTCACGAACTATTCGGACTGTACCATTGGTTCTGCCATGGGGTACCTTGAATTGCAGACTATCTATCATTTTTACTCTTTAAAACCGTTAAAAATTAAACTACAATATCAGCATTAAAACTATTGACAGCTTTCATCTACGTCAACAGTATTTCTGAGGGGAAGAAGTTAAAATTTAGTTTTTAAGGTAGTTGAAAACTTGGTACGGCCCGTCCCAATGCCATGTGCATGTGACAGGTAAGTCACGCACGGGCCAAAGTCAAATTCTCAAAACTGCCCGTATCCTTCTTGGGATATGTGTATGCAAACACTGTCATTGGCAACAATGGAACTTTTTATCGACGACCGTGGGTGTAAAACGATGGATAATGTGTAACTATGGGCCTTTGACAATGGACTGTGTGAATGCAGACTTAGAGTGCAACTGTGGCATGGTTGAAAAACATCGAACGACCTCTACCCTATTTGTGATAAAAAGTGTTTTTGAAGTCTTAAATGCATCTGATGCAATTAGTAAAACTGGATTTTCAACGTCAATTTGCTAGTCATTTTTAGAAAGTAAGCTGAATCAACCTTTCGCATATAGTATACAGATATCTGTGAAGCAAAATGTGATGTCGCTGACGGAAAACGGTTGTTTGTTTTCTGTCGTAGGCTGGTTCTAGTTATTTATGGGTGGTATCCAAAAAATAAAGGGACTTCTCACGTAACAACTTGTTTTGAAGCTATTTCATACGCTTCAAGTATAAAATGATGACAAAAATGTGATATTAAAAATGGCAGTATAGTAAATGTCAATATCAGACAGATTTCCTCATCTAGAATATTTTTTTGGTTTTGCTGCCCTGAAATTGCACTGGATGCCTTCACAAAAAAGAATCTAACAACCTAATTTAAGAAAAATTCCCCTTGAACCTAACTTCTTTGTTGGCTTTCAGAACTTTCCAAAACTGCCGGACCTATGAAGTACCTTTTTTCCCGTTGAAACTTAGATGTAAAAGTTATAAAAAAAATGATCACGACTTCTTGGAAAAAATTGTTTACCATGCTTAGTCATTGTTACATTTCCAATACTCATATCTTAAATTACGTAACGATCCATACTCAACATAAAAGTTGGCGCCACAGAGTCTACTTAAGCATCGACGTGTTTAGTGTGACATAACAATGTTTCACCTGACCCCTTTGTGTATATATACTGTTCAAAGTAGAAAAGTTGCTGCTGTCAGCAGCGCAAGTAGCAACCATAAAATGTCCGTCCAAGTCCTGATGGCTGAAAACAAATAACTCCTTCAACCAAGACAACACACATGAAAGAGAGGGTTTGCACGTGACCACACGTCTGGGGTCTACTTGGCCTTTGGTTCACCCCAGCCAGTGTAACAGGGCACAAGGTACCCCTGGTCAGAATACATCCTGGGGTACATTTTCTCTGCGGGTACAGATTGGCCTGTTACACTGGACTAGACTTTGAAAAAGAGTGATGATGATGAAAAAAAATTAGAGATGCTCTCTACTAGCTTTTTATGAACATTCTTAAAGTTCAAGTTCAACATCTGCAAGAAGCTTCCTTTAAACTGAAAACTTGGAACTGAAAACTTTTACTGCCCTGAAATTACTTTGGGTGCCTTTAAAGAGTTTTTTCTACCATATGGCAGAGGTTTGCACTCTCTTAAGTTAAACGTTCTTCCTGCTGCCTAACCGCAAAACCAATGCAAAAGCCTACTTCAGCAGGAAGCAGGTTAATTACTGCAGTCTACTTTTGGCAGGTGTAGCCAGCAACAAAAGGTATTTTTCTGCCAGCCGTGCCCTTTTGAACTTAAAGGTGAACAACAGAAGTGCTAGCACACAAGACACGTACATACTATGTACATGACCATGGTTACTCATTAATGTAGCTGTACTAAGTATTTAGTTAGGGCGGCGCTCTACATTTGTACAAACAGGAAACAAGGTCAAGGTAAAGTCTACAGGATGGATTTCTGATCATAGCCCAGGCAAACAAGGTAGTCTTGTGGTTAGGGTTGTTGACTAAGAATTGAATGGTTCTGGGTTCCAATCCCTTGGCCTGGGTACCATCTCTATTTGTTACCCGACTCCACTAAAAAAAATTAAAATACTCACCAAATACGGATGGTACCCAGGCTACGAATCTCTTGCAGATTGCAATGTTGTGCCCTTGGGCATTAAAGGCACTTTACACTTATTTCTTAGGGACATCCCCTCCCAGCTTCAGTTAGGGACATCCCCTCATACTCATATGATAGTCAATGAGCACTCTTATTGTTCATCCATTCTTAGAGGTGTCAGGCTAAATTTGCATATTGGTGGTTATTAGACATACATGTGTATTGGATGGGCTAAATAAGACTGTTTGAGACAAGCACAGTTAAGCGTTAACGACTGTAAATTGATTTATTTCTGCAGGGACTCTTATTACATATAAGTATATTCCTTGCACCTTCTGAATTTGATTGATCAGCTACCTACATTGGTAAGATTGTCAAGAAGAAAGAGGAAGCCAAATGTACTGTATTTAGATGTACAAATGTAAAATATGTGTATGTTTGTAAATGCAGATTGGCCTATGCTTACCTTGCTAAGGCAAAAATGATCAACAAATGTCTTCATTGGTTTGTTCATTCAACTTAAAAGAAATGAAAGAACAAACAAACAACAAACCAAGCATATGTACATTACCTGTGACCTGTACTACAGTATGCCCCTGTTCCATGCTGTCTTCATGGCAAACAGCCAACACTAACATGACATCACTGGTACTTCCTCTCCACACCCTGTCTGATCCTCAACCCTACTTATGACTCATTTATTCAAAAGATAAACAAACCTTTTCCCTGGACACCATGACTGGTCTTTCCAGTTTTTTGGAATGACATAATTTGCATAGTAAAGAACCTATGCATGACATAAAGAGTGTCTGTTTCTTGCAAATTTGATAAATTAGGTACCAAAAGGCAGCAAATTGTTCAGTTGTATCATTGTCAGTCTGTCATTCTGTTACTTTCAGTTGATCACTGCACTATTCAGTACATAATGAGGATTACAATATGCACGTGTTGTAACACAATGGCTTGTAATTATCTGACATAAAATTAGAAGAAGCCATTGTTGTCTGTCTCAAACAACTTTCATGTAGTGTGAATGACAGTTGTGGTAAACACTGATGTTGGTCACCCTCCACATCCAGAGTTTTGTCATCAAGGCTATATGTCAACATGTAGGCAAAAGTGCAAAACTACATTGTGCAATGGGATATCCCTAGGTTGAAAAGTGGTAGACAAGGATGACACGGTGCAGTCCTGCAGTTCCTTTCCTTTTTGATAGGTGTCTCTGCTGACTGGCACGTTAGTTCTCATTGATCAAGGAAACATACATTGTCAAGTACATGTTGTATAATAGATCTAAGAATTCATAATAAAACTGCATCTCTCCAAACTCTGAAAAGCTCAGCCTCTGCTACTTGAAGAATCTAATTATACAAATATAGAGTATATAATGTATAGTATGGAATATACAAATACTTTGTAGCGATAATTTACCAGCAATTACATAATACTGTGGACGAATAAAACACATCATGAAAAACAAACAATGAGAACTCACCAAAGTATTTGAGCGTTTCCTCGGCCTGTTCAGGCGAGAGGTCTACGGGCGTGTCCGGCGGGAGAACCGGACTCTCCAACCAGTCCTTGTTCTCGTAGCCGAAGACGGTGTCGGCGCGGAGCTTGTAGCGGGGGATCTCCTCCTGGATCAAACTGATGATCTCTACCTCGGGTAGATCTGGGCTATTGCAGAGGTCTGGAGGGGGAGGGGGCAGAATGGGGGAGGGGGGCAGAAAGGTTGAATCATAAATTTTTTTAGATAATCGTTTTCAATTTTTTTCTGTATTTAGTTTCCAACAACCATATGTAAAGAGACATTGGTGATAAAAACCTTTGAGTTTGACAGTTTGCAAAACAATATATACTGTTACCGTATAAACAATTTATACTGTTACAGTTACTAACAAATATTTGTACCCCAAACTGTAATGTGAAATGCTTGCTCTTTCCAAAATGGTTTTGAACATTCTGAGCAATTACAGCTACAGAGTATTCAACATAACAAAAACATTTATAGATTAATATTATTACATTAAAAAAATTATTTCTATCGATGTCCTCGCAAATTTGATTTTTTTATAATAAATTGTATATTAGCGAGTGCAATGGTCACAATTAAATAAACTGGCATACTAGTATGTACTAGTACTAATACTAGTTTTTCTCAGAATTTCTTGCTTTGAATTCTTGCTGAGAATTGCTAGCATTTAGTATGTAAGAAGTGAAGACAGTATGGCATAACAGTTATTTTCCAGAGGATATATTATGTCTTCCTTACTGCCTGGGAAGAAAGTCTACATTCAATTTTAAAGGAAAGGGGTACCGTTACAAAAATTGTAGCACTCTTTATGTATCAGTGGGGCAGAATTTCTAGAAGAAAGAGAAAATGCTCCTATGAAGAGCTATAACTCTAGAATTAGAAGGAATGTAATATTGTAACACCTTCTACAAACTTAAGCCACCTTTTCCCATAGCTACCTAAAATACACGTATACTCAAAATAACATTAATAATATTTTGCTTTTACCATAATTGTCTTTGGCACCTTTTTGGTCGGCCATTCTGCTATTCTCTGGAACTGAATGAAAGTAAACAAAATCGTAAATAAAAGTAAAATCAAAAAAATTTCGGCAAATCTTTCAATGTTACGTAATTCCAGCTCATTTCTTTTCTTTTCTTTCTAGTTCCAGCTTTGGGTATTTCAAGCTTCTTAAATCAAAGCTGTCGGATTCAAATGCTCATACAGTGTTTTTGTTTTTGTCTGGTGCCACATTTTTAAGTTTCTAGAATGCACAAACTAGAAAAGCAGACATTTGCTCAAGAGCAAATAAAGCATATTTCAGTCCATCTTAATTCCTCCCCATTCCAAAATGGACTGTCCATATCAATTTTTTCCATCCAGAATCAAGTGTTTCAATACTCCTAATAAGTACATTTCAGTGTTCCCCCATGTAGTTCTTTTCAAAAACAAATATTCTCAAAACCCCCATGTACAGCTTTTTTGGTAAAAGTGTTCTTCGGGTCAGTTGGTTATAATGACTGTACATTAATGATTTTCACGGTCTGTACCCTTACGCAACCCTAAAAACTGCAAACAGTCACGTTTCGGTGGCTTTGACGTACTTTCCTGACTCAGTACCTCACTGCCTATTACTACTCCTAAATGGAGAGACCTCGATCGATAAAGGCAATCTCCCTTTTAGTTAGATGTCTAGCTCAAATGACTGTCACTGACAGACAGGCCTTTTCTGTAAACCGTCCAGGCTTAGCAGACTTATAGTTATTTGAAATCGTTCTCTCTGACGGGGGAATGGTTTTCATCACTATTCATTTCTGTTTTTCTGACATCAGCTTTTAGAAATCGTATTTTGAGGCCACGGTTCAATACTTGCCAGCAGCTAAAACACCTGGTCCCTTTGCTATGATAATCAAACTTTACTATCGGTGCAGTCAGATGTATGAAAGCCCTTAAAAGGACTGATTTAATCAATATCACTCAAGGTCAGACACTTAGGCTTTGGTCCCCTGATTATGATAAGCTTTACATCTCCCATCGGCAGACCAGTGCTATCAATATGGTATGGTATAAGTCTTGTGATTCATAAGAGGTAACATAGAAGGATTAGTGTTATTGGACGGTATACATGTATATTTACCTCCGTAACCAGAGGTATTGTTTTTGTTGTTGTTTGTGTGTACTTTGCATAAGTGTATGTGTGTGTGTGTGTGTGTGTGTGTGTGTATCTGTGTGTGTGTGTATGTCTGTGTGTTTGTGCCTTCTATATATATGCATATTCCTACTTGCTCCTATGGCATTAGGCAACAAACAGATATATAGCAACAAATTTTACGACAGGAAATGAGATAACCTTTTCTGGGACATTTGACCTAACTTCCTTGCCTAGCATGTTAAAATAACTACAGAAACACAAGCAAACAAACAAACAATGAAAGAAAATATCTATACATAGAGGTAATACAGTACGTACTTGTAAATGGCTGTATTATACAATGTATTGTCTTTTGTAGAGCCTTTATGATAATACATACAAACTGTGCATTGGTGCCAAAACATATTAGTCACTGTCTGATGGTTAGAAAAAGTCCTCCCCAGGGGAATTGTATGATCTCTGACATTTACACACAAAGGCTATATCTGGATTACCAGATAGTAATGGCATTTTCAATTACATTGCTTGTGTAATTGTATAATGTATATTCTGTATGGTTTTTGGGTCTTGCTATTTGTTAGAAATAAATTGTACAAATAGTAGCTTCTGAATAAAGGTAGACAGACACACATTTAGCCACTACGTTGCAATAATTTCATATTCTTGAATCTGTGGTTCTAAAACTCAAACAGTTTTATATTGAATTGAATAGTAATTGGGCTGCCATCAAGCCTCAGCATCAGTGTAAAAGTCTAACCCTCGGGAGATGGGAACAACAGATGCTAAACCAAATAGTGAGTGTGAGTGAGTGTGGCAATAGCAACTAGACCATAACTAATTGAGCTAATTGATCAATAAAAACTGGAAATTACATCCAGGCCACTAACCTACAATATCTCTCTTTTACCATTCAAATATCAAGACATGCCTCAATAAGGAATCTATGTATTGTATAACACACCACGACAAGTATGTCATGAAATTTATATTTGGAGGTGTATGATATTTGTGATCTAAATAAATGTTTCACTAAATTTTTTTTGGCGACGCCTCAGGGGGGAGCCTAATGGCACAGTATTGTGTGTAGTTTGCAAGAATTCTAGGAATTGCACAGGCATTTTTTTCCACAGGCATGGCATGTCTACAGGCATGTTGATGGCACACTTTTATGGACACATTCCTACGTAGTCCTAAATTCTTGCCCACATACCCACATGCCTTTCAAGTGGAAGTTTTACATTCTTCCCACATTTCTTCCCACATGCCTTCCAAGTGGATGTCTTAGCATTCCAAGTGGAAGTCCTACATTCTTGCTCACATTCCTGCCCCACATGCCTTCCAAGTGAATGAACTACAAACTCCTAAGACATTTTAGAATTACTTCTGTGAGTACAGTCGATAGTGATCGGATGTGCTGTTGTAGTACCAGGTAGCCGCTTGTGTTGAGTGTCCGTTGGATAGGTAAGTTTGCCATATACATTATCTATGTCTAGTTGTCAAGGTCGTGATTTGGAGTTTTTTTAAGTTGCCAACACTAGTCAAAGAAGTTGCCAACACTAGTCAAAGTGTGTGTTGTTTTAGGATCTGTTATGACAATAGACAATAGCATTTTAAGGAGGTCCCCGCATGCCCATTTTCCGTAGAGTGTAATGGACTGTTTTAATTCTACGACTGTAACCGGACCGATCTATTAACGCGTGTCCTGGATGGTAAGTTTGCCATGTTCAATGATGAATCCTATGATGAATTCTACGTAAGTCAGCACAAGACATAGACTTTATCTTAAATGTTAATATAATTTACAGAGACCATGCGCGTTTTTTGTGTAAATACTACTCTACTGGAATTTGGAAAATGACCCACGCTGTCTTTCCACCAAGCTTCTATTGAGTCGCATGGTTGGGATACATTCAAGTTGATATTTATGAGTTCAAAAAAATCGGCGAGTACAATATTATCATGTGACCCGTTTCTAGCAAACTAGCGCATTTGAAGCTTGCGTTGTGTATAGACTATTACACATATTAGATGTTTTGTGCTACCGTTTTACAAGAAGTTCTAAATATAACAACTCTTCATGAATGGAAAGGATTGTTCATATAAATTTCTATTTCATTACAAATTCAAACTGTTGACACGGAGATCAGTTAGCTAGGATAGGATAGGTATATCGCGAAGTTAACTCCTCACGAACATAAATGCACTTACATATATGTTGAACACATCAGAGGTTGACATTGATAGGTTGTTGACGTTGGTTGGCATAACCAAATATATTGACTAGATCAATTTTGTTACAGGACAAGGTAGAAGTACACATGTATTTTAGAGTTTTTTTGTGCATGCAGTCCTAAGTATGCCGTAAAATTAATCATGTATGATATATGACAATACATCTGCATACTATCTACACCAGAGAGAGATTTGTACTTCTGTAAGACCATCGACACAGGTGTTTTATACGGCTTTATTTAGCCTTAAATGGATTTCCTGTTACATTACCTTAAAGTTTGCCTGGCCATAGGGTGCTTGCGGAAGGCCTCCGGTTAGAAAAAATACCACCCAAAAACGACAACTGCAAGGGGTCATTCGCACCTTCTGCCATGTGATGACTTTTTGAAAACTAGTAGAAGGGAAACCTTTTTTCAGGCCCAAGATCATCAGTTTTGGCTTGCACAATAATTCCTCTCCGGCTGTCACACAGTCCTATGTGAACTATTTCCGCCCAGAACGTTGGTCCTCTGCGTGCCCAGTTCCATTTTCTTAGCCACCTCAGCAATATATCCTGTAACTCGTCAAGTCCAGTCCGTGAAACGCGGGCGGTCGTCTTTAAATTGTAGGTTACTCAGATGTGTTGTTGCCATTTACGATTTAAGCGCTTAGTGGTGGTGTGGTTTCTCCTGATGAGAACAACGACGTTTCATTCGGGAGCTGTTCGATTTGGAACAACGTGGAATTTGTACAATGCCTGCCCTTCGTCATGCGCTGAAAACCGGTGGGACATATAGTGGTATGGTTGCTATGCCTGCATTCTTAACATGCGCTGTAAACCCTAGGGATTTGTGGCATGTCGTCAATGCCTGTCTGCACATGCACTGAAGTCTTATGGATGTCCTACTTTCTGGCCCTCATTCCCACATGTCTTCCAAGTGGATGTTTTACATTCTTGCCATTCCCACATGCCTTCCAAGTGGAAGTTTTACATTCTTGCTTCCATGCATTCGCACATGCCTTACAACATTCCTTCCAAGTGGAAGTCTTCAAGCCTTCCAAGTGGAAGTCCTACATTTTTGCTCACATTCCTTTCCCACATGCCTTCCAGGTGAATAAACTACAACCTCTAAAGACATTTTAGAATTACTTCTGTGAGTAAAGTCGATCACATTGTGAATCTGAACATGTTGGGGAAATGCTGAGAAGGAGACTTACAGATATGCACTGATGATGTCTTCGAAGCTTCTACAGTTTTCAAAAGGGAAGTCAAACCCTTCAGACATAGTTTTAGACATAGCTACAATTTTAGACAACTACCTTTCATCATGTAGATTTTAGTTATTTTATATACTCACTGTTCTTCAATGTCCTTTTATGTTTGTAACTGACAATTAGCCTCTGGGCATGAATTTGCAATAAACGTCTCAATTATTATAATAGAAGAGAAAGATATCATAATAATAGTACCTGTTTAAATGCAGCAGAGCTCAGAAGACTGTCGATACAGATTCACAAGAATTTTTAGTCTTGTGAATCTGTACCGACTTCATGAACATCATGGGAGTCTTGTCAATCTGTACAATTTCCACAATGTCCCAAGGGTTTCCTGGAATTTCACTAGGTAGGAATTGTATGTCAAGTGTATGTCCCACATTCTAGCCTGGACATTCCCCACATGCCGTACCCAGTGAATGGTTAGCATTTTGTCCACAGGCATGCGGAATGTCCACAGGCATTTCTCTGACCCACATCTATGCCCACATTCCTATAAACCCTTGGGAAGATCTGTCTGCCCTATGGCCCTGCTTTCTGTGACCCCGGGGCTCGTTCACTATACACTCAGGGAAGGAGTGCACCGTATCTGTCTAGACTTAACAGGTACCATCATGGCAGTGTCATGGCAGTGCCATGCAAACAATAACCCTAACAGCAACCACCGTCGCCATGGCAATGTATGTTTTCATTGCCAGTCTTGTTTATTCTAAGATGTCTACATCATGTCCTGTAATACAGCCATCATGAAGGGTTGGTTAGAAAAGACATTATTTTGGCAACAACAATTTTTTTTTTCACCCATTGCTTACTGATGTATTGTGTCTGTCCTTGGTGCTGAATGGTTAATCTGATAAAGAAAAGTGCACTGTAATACACAATTTCACACATGACTCACATGCAAAACCACCTCACAATAATGTTGTTTGTGTGCCTTCTACATTTCTGTGACTAATGTTAACCCTCTGCCTGCTGCCTAAACCCATAAGAAATACAGACTTGCTGTCAAAGTGCTACCTTAGCATGCTGAAGGTTAATGATGAGTAAGAATGATAAATGAGTGATAATAAGATAACGGGTGTGAGTAGCTTATGGAGGTGTCTAGCTGGTAGATAACTGAATTATCGCCTGGTCATAGTAATGTTATTTGCAATCTGTATTGCCATTTTTTCAACGCAATGAGCATTGCAAACTTGGGACACATATTTTGGGATATACTGGGTTATACTATAAAAATCATATACATGACTGATTTTGTATCCACTGGAATGGCTTTGTAGATATCATAAATACTATGAAAAATGGAAAAAGAAATATAACATATTTTGCATTAAAAAAAAAGCGTTGTCAGTTTGTTGATAAACATGATAAAGTCATAAATTTGGCTGTTTTGTCTAAAATTTCTAGAATGATCCTGACTCTGAAAAATATACTATATTTTGCTAAAGAAATGAAGACTAGTCTTTCCAATGTGGCAGACAAATGAAAAAATATTATGTGTAGCAAAAATTGATATATTTTCTAACATGAACCTGTAATAAATTTCTTGCTGCCATGTTCTAAACAAAGACAATTTGTCTCAATTGTTGCTGCCAGGATACTGCAATTACATTGTTCTTCATCCATATGTATAGTCTGTGTCACACAATAACAATACCACATGTATTATGCATTCTTGTGTATTATATAAAGATTTTACCATAAACACTCCTTCTCATTTTACATACATATGGGAAAACCATCATATTTTTATACATATGGAAAACGTACTACCTTTGTGGACAGACAAGTTATAAATATAACATACTGTGAAATAATAGACCTACCAGATGTTGTAATGTATTAGAAAAATGCATTTTTAAAGATGACATTGCTTGTAAAATATTCTACATGATTGTGCAACTGTCAGTTACATGGGATATAATTTGACCACAATAGATTTATGATATATCGATTGTTATATTCATTATTTGTCCAGCCATGTGTTTTATGCACATTGCTAGTATACAGACCGTTTGATTAAATTCAAGTTAAATATGTATAAGGTAAAATTTATTGGTCCTAAATGCAATGTATTTGAATCAGTATGTTTCCATTTCAGTTCTGATCAGTTCTGTTAGCATTGTCTTGTAATACATGTATGCCGACACCTACATAATTCAAGCATCAATGTAAACCATTGTTTGCCTTTAAAAACCCATAAAATTCCTCAGATATCTTTCTGTAAATCTGGCAAATATTGACGTTTTTCACTGTATACTTGAAAAATATCACAACAGCTTTATACAAATCCTTACACATGCGTACGCCTCTAGTATGAATACCACGTATTGACAATCGATTTGTCATGTGCTGAGAGCATTAAGCGTGATATTTGTCCTACCTTCGAAAGGCCACTCGACAATCTCTTCCAACGTATACAGTCGTTTTTTCCCCACAGTATCAACCTCAAACGGCCACTCTTCAATGTCTAGGTCTTGCATTCACGGTATCACCACCCCATTTTCTGGATATCAATGCGTATATGTTGTGAAATATCGGCATGCCCCACCTCTCCGAGACTCACAGCCCGTCACCATTCGCCGTTAATCACTTCACGTGACGACTACGTACGCGCCGTGTTAACGGAATGTCGTGGAGCCTCCCGCGAGCGTTCTCGTTTTCTATATGCCGTGCAATTCCCCCGCTCGATTGCAGCAGCAAACGCATTATACAGCCTAATGGGACGGTTCTATGATGTATTTGGTGCCAGGCGTGCCCCAAGGGCTGCTGGGATACGTCCGTCCTAACATCCAGGTCATCGGGCTGGTTTAAACAATATCTTGTTTGTTGTCTCTTAACAGACAATATAGAGTGATTCTATCTTTGTTTTAGAGGGTTATAATGTTTGTAATTCTTCTAATAAGCTTTTACGGGAAGTAATTGTTGTTTATGTTTATAATATTACGATGTTGTAATTATGACTATAATTGTAATTTGTAAGGTTGATTGAATTTGTACTGGTCAAGCCTTTCCTCAACAAAATAGCAATCATCTCTGCTTCATAGTTCTTCAAAATGTAATTCTATTTTTATCAAAAATGTAAAAGATATCCTCATAGCATAAGTCAGTTTATATGAAATATTGTAATATATTGATCTGATTCAAGCATTATTGTTTCGCTTTTAACAAAAGTGAGGTAATCCAGACCTTCCATTAGATCATAATACAATAACTCAATATAGAATATTCTCATGGGACATTGCCAATGATGTTTTTTCACCCATTGCTTACCAATGTATTGTGCCTGTCCTTAGTGCTGAATGGTTAATCTAATAGAGGAAAAACAAGCCTATTTCTATCTGTCATTCAGTAATTATATTCAGTAACAGTAAGTATCTGTTTTAACACCATTTTTTTAGTTGTGTGAGGGTTAGATGTGCTTTCACTTTAGATGACGTGGTTTGACAGCAGACCTTCAGCTGTTTCTGTTCATTGTCCTTACATCATGAAGGTCAAGATGGTGGATCCATGACGTACAGTCTTACTCCATACGCATGTGACTCTGACTGTGAGGACATGCAATATTTACGCACCACTAAACCCCTCCATTCCAAATCCCCCAATGAATCAATCCTGGGTTGAGAACTATGATTACCTACAAACGCACGGCAAGTAATAGCTTCTGCAGGGATAATTGTGGTGTGCTTCTTTCTATTCTAAGCTCAGTTCCTGGCTTGATAGAATTATGCTTTACATAGAGTAAAGCATTGATGTTATGGGGAGCTGAATCCTTTGAAGATCACATCAGGTAGGTAAGTACTAGACATATACTGGAGGTTTTGTTTTTGGTGCCTGTGTTTGTGTGTCTGTAGTAGTTATTTGAATACAGTAGAGTGACAGGAAGTGGGGGGGGGAATGTTGTAACCACAGACCATTGAGACAGGAAGTAGAGTTCAGATTATGGGGAGGTATTGTTTTTGGTCTGTCTATTTGTGATTTTGCAAATAACTTCAGCTATACATTTTTATGTCACATTCACCATAGAGTGACAGGAAGTCATCAAATGGCCATATGTAATGTCAGTCAAAATATGAACTACAGTTGAACAATGCATATCATGAGAAATATTTCATGGAGGCATGAGAACTTTTTTTATTGGCAGTACATCTTTATATATCTGATTTTCATTAAAAAAGTAGGGCACTTTCTTGGGAACAGAAAAGGAAAAAATCAATGTGACATTATCCATAAACTGGAGATAGTTTAGCCTCACTATATCATAATCTGGACATGCTGCTGAAATGTTTTATAATTATAAAACCCCACAGGCCTAGGGGCACATGTGCATGAAGTCCCTATAATTACAACATGTACATTTTAACACAGAGGGGTCAAGGTTAATGACACACTGGACAGGGCAAACCACTTGTTCTATTGATTAAACCATGAAGCAGACATTAATGTCATTGTGTGAGTCTGTGTAATACTACCTTGTGCAGGGATGGAATAGACTAAAGTATACACCTAGTAGATTGCAATGCTTCACATTTAAGAGTCAGTAAAAATAATAAAATCTTTGTTGTTTAAATCCTGGATAGTGAGTGAGTGAGTGATTTTGAAGGTGTGCAGAATCAAATTGAGCCCCAAAATAAACTGGGGTGTGCCACCTTAAACCAGTGAACAGTGAGTTCTACCAGTATTCATGAAGTGACGTCCATACGGTAAAACACTAAAAGCTATTCAATTTTTCACAAGATGTTGTGGAAGAAACGACAGTTTGATTATCTAAGGAGTTAGTCCTGCCTTCCTTAATCTCTGTCCCGGGGTGCGGTAAGAATACGAAATGAGTGGTTTACGTTCTGCATTGACGTCACAGGGAATAAGGTGGGGAGAGAGGGCAAATTGGAATTCCTGTTTGCGATCACCCCAAGGATTGTAAATTTCAACGAGTGGCGTCGGGTTCAAATTGGTAGCTTTCTTTTTTAGGGGGAGGGGTCATTGTGACTCGACACCTTTTACTTTCTATTTCATGAAGAGCCTATGAAATTAAAAGCCTTAGCTTGCTGATATGCTGACAATATATGGTGTTCACATGATAAAACAGAATGTAGCAATATCATTCTGTATTTGTGGCACATTGCAACCTCAATTCATTTAGTTTCTGTTTCAAACTTTGTCTCAGATAATTAAGTTGGCACAAATTTTCTAGCCAAGAACTAAAAACATTTTGTAGAATTTGTGCATTCAAAACCAAAGCTTAGGCCACACCAATTTAGTTTGCTGGTTTGCAGATTTTTTTTTTTTAAATATGCTTGAAGACCTTGGCCAGGTCTCTGCCTTCATTTTTTTGCAACTTGAATGAATTGTAGAACATGTCTGATTGCTACGCATGTACATTTTCAGCTTAAAATGTCTGAAAACCATTATGAAACAAATTGGTATGGCCAAGATAGTTCTAACTTCTTCCTTACACATTTTCAAATCTATCCTAGGCTCACCTGTAAGGCAACTGGCGTCTCTCAGTTCCTTCATTGAACCATCACGACTGGAGCTGCTCGGAGACGAATCAGCGAGCTGCCCAGGGGAGTAGTCGTACAGTTCATCGGTGGCCAGCTTGACGACTGCGACAGCGCGGCGCAGCGCGGGGGAGCCGCGTCACAGCCGGGGGGCGAGCAGAAGCCGTGGTTACCGGTTGGCCGTCGTATTTAACTTTATCCCTCTAATGACTGGAGATGGAACAGAGAAAACAAGACATTTCAGACTTCTGTGAAAAGTTTTATCACTTGCCTGGACATATAAGAGTAACATCACACAAACCATTACACATTGTTTCAGAACATGGATGAGATTTGACTTCTTACCTGCCTGATGACCATTAAGGAATCTGTTGAAAGAAATGGCCGAAATAAAAAACATCGTAAAGGAGCTTGAAATTCATCTTCTATGCTGAATCAACGGAGCTTTCCTGAGTTTCAAAAACACTACTTTCCTGAAGTTCTCTACTTCATCCGGAAGCTGGTGGCCTTATGATGTGTACAACTACAAGCTGCGACTGCGCAAAATTGAATTTGAAGGAACTACAGAAAGGAATAATCCCTGAGAAGAAAGCTCTAGATCTTCTAGCAGAGGCAAGAGGGCACACACAAATGTGACCTGGTATGTTTCATTTCATCTCATATACTGAGCTCTTGAAAACTTCACATTCTGTATACTCATGTTTGAAATACAGCGCAATCAATGTCATAAAAACTGATAACGAAAGAAAATCCAGATGGTCAAACAATTCATCAAAATAAATGTGACACAATTATCTTTGATTAGCCAGCCTTTTTAAGAACAAGATTTGCATAACAAAACCTTGTAACCAGCAAGTCTGATAGATATATGACTTGTTCAGTCTTTCAAACATGGGGATCTGGAGCAAACATTCAGGATATTGGTGGGGACTTGCCTTGCAGTTTTTACTGCTATCAACAGGGGGCACAACTGCATGTGCTTGTCATCTGACACATTATGTCAAGTTCAACTTACACTGACAAACATACAAGTTTCAATGTGACATAAAATATTGCACTATTCATAGTTACCATTGAAATATTCTTCCTTTTTTGATATCTATACGCTTTAAAACATAAAGGGAAGTACATATTATGCTACCAAATGAAAGGAACAGTATTACATACAGATATGGATTACATATGCATGCCTTCAAACACCTCATGTAATTTATAGTGTAAAATTTTATTAACATGACAAATTCATATTTGATAGAACCATGAAAGTTGAAATTTGTATTCACTGCCATAAAACTCATTAAAAATGTATCATAGGACATGCCCTATAAATGGGAAATAAGTTATACAACACCATGAGTGGTGCATGTGACCAGTTCATTCACACTTTAGTCAATATCATGACATGAGTTATAGGTACAACACAGAATACACCTATGCTGCAGTATTGTATTAACCTGCTAGGTGGCAGTTTTGTCTAAGCATAGTTTGCATGATCCCAGCACAAGTGTTCATACACACAAGTGTCACATGTACAATGTAATATGACAGTCAATAAGTATTTAGTCAGGCAAACTATTGGGAATTTGACCCTATCTCAGTTTTTTATCTTAATGAATCTACAACTTAAAATTGGAAAATTCTTTTTTTTTTAGGCACATTCATTTTGGCTGGTTATATATTCAGTACAAATTTTTGAGTCAATCAAAGGGCACAATTATTAATGCAAGTCTGATTACATTTTGCATGACTTTTTATCATTCACCACACATGCATGCATACATTTAGTACATGTAACGTTACCTATAATTGTCACAAAATTATGAGGTTAAATCTTCTTTTTATAAAAACTATAAAATCCAGAAATTAGCATTGATTCTACAGGAAATACATGTATACTATATTTTTTTTGGTTCCTAGAACATAAAAATAGGCTATAGCCGATATAAAGTAATAAACTATACACTCACCTATAATACATTGTAATCATCACAAAACTACGAGGTGAAATCTTCTATAAAGACCATAAAATCCATAGTTAATTCTGCTACACATCTCTACCAGGTGTCCACTGGCACAATCATCAGGTGAAATAAAAAAGCGACCGGCAGAAACCGGCACGAGCAAACAGATTAACGCACAAATCAAACAACGCGTAACAGCGCACATACGTACACCGCAGCGCTAACACTGATGTCGCAATGTCAATGTGATTACGCAATCTTAC